AACATGTCTGATTGGCCATTGCATTTAAAAAATCAACAGTTATGTTTGTGATTGGCTATATTGATTGACACTGCAAAAACATGTTGTAAATAGAAACCTTTGACGCTCCTAAGAGCGCAAACCCCAATTCTCGTTCTTCCTTTCTTTTCTTTGTTACGCACCAAATCCTGGGCCCCACGCTATATTATTTGACCAGCCATTCCCATCTACAGCAATGGTAAAACAGTCCACTCCCACAAGATTTAGGTTGGGTCCCATGGGAACCATTCCAATCCTAATGCAGTCTTCGACATCCCCCGAACCCGCTTTCATTCTATGGAAGAGAGCAGCGTGAACATTCTGCTAAACATCTTCATTTGTGCTCCACAAAAAAAGTATTCTGGTTTGGAATACTTAAAATTTGTGAATAAATTATAAAAGAATGTTCTTTTTGAAGAGGCAGATTTTCAAGCAGAGTGTGTCTTTTGAATATGTGCAGTCATTTAGCATGTGTGGATTGAGAGTGTTTGTTTGTTGATCTTTTGTGCACATGGTGTACAGTGAAGCCACCTGGACCAAAGGAAGTTAGTAGGCTATTTGGTCCATATTTTGGTGGACATTTTTAGGTACATTGGCAAAAAAGACAATACGGCTCTCTGTTATTTGTGCACTGTTACAGTACTATATGTACAGGCCAGTGCACAGTACATTATGCATACTTTTCTGCAGTGCAATTTCAAGTACACTTTTTTTGTGGTAAATTTTTAATACAATTTATTTACAATTAAACTATTATGGAGTTCTCTGAGAGGCTGGCAAAATTATGTGATTATACTTTGTTTTGTTGTTCATTTAGTCATTAGTTTTTTTTGTTTATTGAGGTTTGTGTGTTAGATGTGGAGGACAATATGTGTCTGTATAATACAATGTTTTTGCCTTGCAGGATGTTCTCTTCTTTAGAGGCAAAAATTGCTAAGTTCACTTCATACCATATATGCTATAGTTACAATACAACCCTTGTGTTGCTAATCAATAATTTCCATTTAGAAATAATTTCCTCAGATTGGTTTTTCCAGTGCATGTGACGTCATGTACTTTGTAATCTGGACATGTGATGAAGTATTGTCATGTCTCATTTACAGTAGTTTCTGTTGAGTAAAAAGCCATGTAGAGCTCTTGAAAACCTTTCTTGGCCATAATAGCAGAAAGAAGATCACTATTATCTTGCTGAAACATGAGTTGCTCTCCTGTCAGAGTTGAATACCAGCTCTCTGGCACCTACAGTCTCGCCAACATTTTCTCTGACAATTAAGCTTTGTTGCTTTTAACCACTACTGTTTTTTTTGTTTGTTTTTTTTAGTCTCTAAAGCCCAAAATACCATCTATCTTTATTTTCACATCATCTTCCCTTTCCTGTTTGCTTAAGTGGTGTCCCTGGACGGTTGGTTCTGTCATTTTCTCTGGCCATCACTCCATGAATTAGCTCCTGGTAATCATGTCTCCACTTCCGTCATCATGCTTACACATGGAAGCTATTATTTTCGTAGCCATTAATTAGTGTTATGCTGTGTTTAGAAATGGCTGTTGTCAAAAAATTAACTATCCATCTCATGGGTGTTAGCTCATATGTAATGTGTAACCACACTGGGGCTTGTGTGTTCACAGAGACTGTAATCTGCTTTAGCAGCTTGCTCAAATGCATCACAAATTGTGCTGATATACTATAGTTGCTTCTGCCAGTATGTGGATTTTGTGATATGCCAGGGTTCAGATTTAAAGCTTTAAAGAGCTTGATCTACGTGAACCAAAGATGACACAGCAGTCCTTTTTAAATGCTACTCTTTTAACGTCGCAGTATAGGCTACCAAAAGTAGCATGTTTTGGGAAGTACTATAGTACGAGAAAATGATAACCATTTAGTGACATGGTATATATATACCAAAGTGCCATGTCATTATCATTTTATGCCATGATTGTACCATGGTACCTCTGCAGTTCTTTTTTGTAATCAAATTTAGGCCTTATTATGAGCCTGGAAGTGTTTTTCTTCCATTTTAAATTAACAGCCTTCCACCACCAACTATTGTATACCGAATAACAATGTATTGTTCATAACAAAACAGTTATTTCTGCCTAAAATAGCATACTATATCCTAACCACTTATTACATGAAATCTTTTCTAGAGCTCTTTGAATATAAACATATTATTAATTTATCCACCCTGAGAGGCAGAACTGCTGGATTGCTTCTGTAGCGTTATAAAGACCCTTGTACTGTATACTCCACCAGAAGATCCTGATTACATAATTGTCCACTTCCACTTCATGCAACCATATTGCTAAATACAAAAATTTAAGTCTTTTGATTGATTTCAAAACTGATATCCTACAATGGACAAATGATTTGAAATGGAGTCAACACTTGCCAGAAAGTTAAGTTATGAAAGAGATAAAAACCCAATATAAAGAGAATGTACTTAAAGGAGTAGTTCACTTTAAAAAAAAAAAAAAAAACTTTTGCTGATAATTTACTCGCCCCCATGTCATCCAAGATATTCATGTCATTCTTTCTTCAGTCAAAAAGAAATTGAGGTTTTTGATGAAAACATTCCAGGATTTTTCTCCATATAAAGCACTTTACTGTTAACCAAACGGTTCATGGTCCAAAAGACAGTTTCAGTGCAAACTGCAAACTGTTCAAAGGGCTTTAAACAATTCCAGACGATGAATAAGGGTCTTATCAAGTGAAACGATCGCTCATTTAAAAAAAAAATACAAAGTTTAAGTTTTATAAGCTCAAATGGTCGCCTTGCTCTGTTCTGTGATGCGCGCTCGTGACTCTCCTGTTCGAACTTGTTTATCAAAATGAACAAATCTTATTCATTTCGATCTTTCAAGGAAATATTTAGTAAAGATCAATAATATCATTCATCCACCATGTTGGAGCTCCCTGTCACTGCAGAGGCTTGACTGGATCGAAGCCTATAACTCAGAACCCTGCAGGCCCAATGGCTGCACAATCATGTCCTCATGTCCACATGACTTTATGGGTATTACTGTAAAGGTTTGAGGATGTTTTGGTTGTGTAAATTATAGGGTGACTGTGATTAATTTTGCTTCAGATAATTTTTATCAGTGTGGGGTCAGTTCCTGTATAGACATTTATGTTGAAGTCTTGCTTGGAAAAAAAAAAAACAGCTATGAGACGATCAATGTTATTAACTATTTTTATTTTTATTTGTTTTGTGCATACATATGCACATGATCATATGTAATCATGCGCATATGTAAAATAATGCAATCACCAAACTTAAACGGTATATCAAAACTGCCAAATGTTACTGAATGAAAGGTCGACCCAGGGCGAGCTATAGGACTGTGCAAGCTTTAGGAGTGTTGATGGACTTGATCTACTCCATCTTTGTTTGATTATCATTCTGAAACCAATCTGAATGTTTCTTTGACAAAAAACAAGATTTTCTCAGCGTTTTTTTAATGAAACTTACCCACATTCAAGTGTTGATATTAAGAAGTTTTTTTGTTTGTTTTTTTAAAGCAGGGTCTGTTCTTTCTTTTAATATATTGCATGTTCAGATATTTATACAACAAAATATTCTGGGGGCAAATGACACGTTTGTGAAAATGGTCAAAAGTGCTGGTGGTGGCTGGCAACGTTTTTCAAAACTCCCGGCGGGGAAAGAGTTAAACACAAAGCATCATAAAAAAATGGAAAGACTAACATACAAAATATAAAATAATTGCTGTAGCATACAGAAATTGTAATTCTGTTAACTAAAATTATTTATAATAATACAAAAAAAATATGAATGAGTAACCACAGCATTTAAATCGCATGTCCTAAGAATACAGTTTAATCAATCTTAAAACCTGGTTAAAATTTTAATTTATAATGTAGTTGAACCTTGCTTTATCATTATAATTTGGGGTGAACAAGTGAACATAATAAAAACTTAATTTTAATTTGGAGGACAGAATTCACACAGACAAAATAAATCTAATTTGAAGTCAATAACTCCGTTTCCATTCAAGGGTGCGAATCTAACTTATGCTCAAAATTGGAATATCCTAAAACAGTTGCAAATAAACCAGCGTTTCCATCTAAAGTTTTCAAGAGAACAAAACCATCATTTCCCAGGAAATTGGTGCGAAATATCCTAAATAAAAAATAGAAGTTGCAAGGAACAAGATAGCCAATGTTACTCTTTTTTCCTACATCATACGAAATGTTATCTTGCATTCGGATGCCGGATGTTTGGGAATGCAATCGTTTGAGATGCTCCTGGGAGGCCATTATACCAAATCATTCTGATGACAGACTTTGGCTCAGATATTTTAGAATGATCAAGCTATCATTTGAGATGCTGTGCAATGAAATTGGTCCACTGGTTAGTCCAATTATCCAATCTTGAGGCAAAGTCAAGGGAGTTTTTTTGTTGCACATCAAGCGTTTTGTTCAGTAAATGTGTTTCCATCGTAGTTTGTGCTCATGGCTTCTTATCGGATAAAAATGTATATTTTATGATTAGCATATTTTTGGAATTTATTTTTCCATCCAGCATTTTTTATTGGAAGCAGGAAGCAGCTAATTTAGAACATACGTTTTGACCATTGTGAAATTTGTAAGCGAAACTATTGGGGAATATGTACATATTTTTAAAAGAGATAAGAGTTTGTTTTTTCCTGTCAGTTTGTGAATTTGCTAAATGCTAATGCTTTCTGTCTTTGATATTGACACTGAAATCAATTTTTAATCAGCAGTGTAATTCAGTAATAGATTCAGTTCATTGTTTGATCTGAAATGGCAGAGGTCTTTGAACATTCTCTTTTTGACAAACATCCACCCACCTACATTCACACACAGATACACACACACCTACAGTTACAGCACATTTGTAAATGTGTGATGCCTTGTGTCTGTGTCTATGAGGCTGTACTGTGTTTTTGTGCTTTTTTGAACCATATCAAATTAGACCACTAACAGATCTCTCTGCACACCACAGGATTGAAAAAACGCACCAGGAAGGCCTTCGGGATACGGAAGAAAGAAAAGGACACTGACTCTACGTAAGTTTCACTAATTTATTCCCCAGTATTAACCCTATACCTACTGTATCATATTTGATCCAAACTTTGCTGAAATACCTCTTATACACAATCCTATTACATGCCTTCTGTCATTTGATTGATAGCTTACTGTATACTTTATTTAGCAAGTTCAAGTCCTTTTAGTATCATTCTAAAAACAAACGCCGTAGTACACGTCTTTTTGCTTTAGCTATTTTTATAAAGTTAACACAAGAATGACTATTGTTAATAATATTTAAAGATGAACATGTTTTGGACTGAAGCAACTTAGGTTTACTTGATTTTCCATCATTGTTTCTGAGCTATCAGAATTAAATTGAAATCTTTTGCCATATACATTTCAGCAACTCCACCTAAATGCATATTTTGCTCAGTCTGGGCCTCTGAATAAACTTGAAGTCCTTTTTTCTCCATAAGCATGAACTCCATATTATCCCATATCGTGCTATATGAGTAATAAAAGCCTAGTGTATGAAATATGCAAACAATTTCATATGTCAGACTTTACAGAGTTATAGAACTTATTGAAGGAGTTTGAAGGTTTGTTGAACAGTTTGAAGGAGTTCTCTCACAAACTCATCCGTAATGGATCATTTGCTGCTTTTATGCTTTGAATCCCTGTCCCCTGCTTCATGGCGTGAAAAGGCTGTAGATGAATAGAGGATGTCTGTTTTGAGAGTGTGTCTACCCAACACACAGGTGTTTCTGTGCCTCACAGCTGAGCCTAGCTAATTGCTTCTGTGCTTGAAAAAAGAGAGGCTTGCATGTTAAGTGGGCATTAAAGACCTCTTTGTCTCTTTCTTTTGTGTTCTCTGTTTTTAGGGGGTCACCAGACAGAGATGGTGGAGTAAGTACCTCTTAACTTACAGCATCATTTCAAGAGACAAATGTGCTATTATTTGTATTTTGGAATTTGAATCAATGTTTGTTTTAATTATGGCTGCAAAAGTTGATGCATTAACATAAGCAATTAATTAAATGTTTATTCAACACATGTATTCAATTTATTCTGTTCTTTGTGAATTCTGAGAACTGAGTGATTAAAATATTCTGAGCTAGTTAAAGCAGCCAGGCAAGCACCCCACACACACACACACAGAGAGAGAGAAGAGCCGAGCAGACCATCCGTTTTTCAGTAAAGGATGACAAAAAGACCTTTTTATGGGTAATTTAACTAAAACTATAAAATAAGCCTTAATGGGATGGGATTTAACAAAAGTAAAGGCATTTGCATTCTTTAAAGTAAAATGTAATTATCATCAAAGATCAACAAGGGAAATATTTACCCACAAGTGAAGCACAATGGTTCATTAAAACGTCAATGCAAAAACTGTTATACATATTGTTCATTCACAATATTGTTTCAAAGCAGCTTTACAGAAAGTGCATAGTTATTGTCTTTTGATAGTTGAATAGTTTGACTGCCCTAGTTTTAATGCATCAGATAATCAGTGTAAGCTGTTTTTTCTTAATGTGAAACCTTATTTGAATTCGAGATTTGAAATGGTGGAAAATAATTCAAATGATGTCTTTATTTTCTCTATGATGGATGACCGCGACACAGGAAACCCAAGAGACTGAATCGGTACTGAATATAGAGACAGAAGTCATTTAGCTAGAAGTGAATTCTCACTAAGCACCTGTAGATTCCCTCAGCGGCACCCCTAAATAGGCCAAACTCATCTCATATAAATACCAGGGAATTTGAGTGATGTTACTAAAGTTGTGTTTTGATTTGCTCAGTCACAGAAAAAGACCAATGGGGCTCCAAATGGCTTCTGCGGGGAGATTGATTGGGAGAGATATGTAAGTACATCTTTCAAGATACAAGATGCATATGACAGTTAAGCCTACAACATTAATGGCTATTTAATTTAACAGATTATCAGATAATACTACTGCTTCTGTAATAAAATCTCACTTCAGTTCTTTTCTTTTGCAGAACTCGCCTGAGGTAGACGAAGAAGGATATAGTATCAGGCCAGAGGAGGAAGAGGGAGATATCCTTTAATAGAGCCAAAAATGACTTTGATTTAATTTTGAAATTTTGTCAATAAACAATCATAATTGTGTTATTTAATTCGTGTAAGGTCTATAAAACTCATCCAGTGTTGTAATCATAGCAATTTACAACTTATCCCTTAACAGCCGTCCACCAGCCCCCAAAGAGAAGACTCACTTTTTCTCCTCCAGTGAGTCTGAAGAAGAGGAGGACCACCGCAAAAAGTTTAAGATCAAAATTAAACCCTTGCCAGCAGACGCTAACTTTCCAGCGCCCTCGGTAGATGAATTAAAAGCCTCCATAGGCAACTTAGCTCTGACTCCCTCGCCTCTGGTGAGTCCAGCCAATGTTACCCATGCATCCCAAGCTTATGATGTCATTTCTTGTCACTTTTTCTTTCTTAAACTTAACATAGTAGCGAATATTGTGCCATGTGATACCGTATGGCTTAATGGTTTGTGCTTTGTACTTATTTGGACATCACTTACGAAAAGGATACTGTGAAAGTACCATAGTAGAATGATGCTTATATAGGGTACAATGGGGCTAAAGGTTCTCCCATAGTGTGTGAATGCAGAAAGAAATATATGTTTTTTATTAAACAATGATGGATCAACACATTTTGGGGGGGAAATAAATCATTAAAGTGGTTTGTTTTGCTCTTTTACCCCAAGTACTGATACAAAATTTGTAGCTAATACTGAAAACTAATACTTTAGCTAAAGTTTACAGTTTTGCATACTAAGTTATCTAAATATTTACTTCACTAAAGTTTGTACTATTTCCAATTTATTTTGATAAGGAAATGCATTTTTGTTTAATAAATATATCATCATTAAAATATGTTCATTTTAAATGAAAAAAAATATTACATTTAAAAAACTTCTGAAAGCTTTGAAGGAGATTCCAATACGGCTTTTCAGTAGTAACAAAAAAATGATGTTTTATTATATATGATTAATATCATAGTTTTATCATAAATATGTTGATTATCTCTATGGTGGACAGCCAACTTAATAAATGATATCATCTGAATCTGACCATGTCATGTCCCCTAATGGAAAAGTCATCATGTTGTGCCTTTATCCCCAAACGTACACTGTAAAAAAAATATTGTTGGTTTAACTTAAAAAATGAAGTAACCTGGTTGCCTTAAAATGTTAAGTTCATTGAAATAGAAAAGTTAATACAATGAAGGATATTGATATAATCACCAGAAAATCAAAATGTTATGTTATCTGAACTACATAAATTATTTAAGTTGATTTGACAAAAGAAAAAATGTTGTGATTACAAATCATGAAAATATTTATTTATTTATTTATTTATTTATTCAGTGTAGGGGCGCTTTATACCCCAGATACCATACTTGTAATGATTTACAAAACTGAAAATCATTAACATATATGTTTTTCGATTTGTATTTGCTACTAAAATCTCTAACATTAAAAAAAAAAACATAGAATTTTAGATTTACAATTTATCAGAGATTCAAATTTGCTCTGCTGCCCACGATTACATTAAGGATGAGCCTCATGTCCTCTATCATATTGATATATTGTGAGTATATTGTAATCATGCTTTTTCTGGTTCATGTTGACAGTAAATCAGTGCATGAAGTAGTTTGAGAGACACTTAAGCCCTATTTGGATGGGATTAATTTTACATGGAGAGGTGGGGTAAAGTAATTATTACCAGAGCTTCTCAGTGATTTTAGTCCCGTCTCAATGTGCCATCTCAGTAATCAATCTCAGTAATGATTACGGCGACTTTCACCTTCTGTGAAAAGTTTCAGAAAAATTACCTTAGGTTGTGCCTAATTACTTGTGCCAATAGACCAGCTGTAAATATGTAAGGAAATATTGCATTATTTCCTGCTTAAAAGTAGTTTTCCGTGTTTTTTCAAATACACAGGCACTAAAAGCATTTGGTAGAGGCACAAAACTTCTTTTAGCTTTAGGTAAGTGCCTATTACCAACAGAATCCAATCAGAATTTAATTCATTTAATTAATTCATTCATCGTTCAACTGGACATAACTGTTTACAGTATATATAAACAGTTTGAGATGTCTTATCCCGTGCGAATTGGCCATTACTATTACAGATGTCCTGTGGTAAAATTACAAAACTCCATCTACCCTTGTAAAACTAATCCCATCTGAATAGGGCTTTAGTGTTTCTGTCAGTAAGGAGAGGAAGCAGTTTGTTGCACTGATGCAGATTTCGTATTGTATACTCATTAAAAGAGGAAGTGCTTTAGGTTCTGTATTGACCTTGTCAACTCAATTGTATAGTCACATGATGACAAAAGCCACTTGGCTAACATCAGACAGGCCTTCTTTCTTTGTTGTGGAGCCTTGCTTGATGTGTGGTTAAACTGAGGATATCTCACTGTGGAGGCTGGTATTGGAGAGAGCAGTTCAGATGGAGCTTCATTCCATTTTAAAAGTCCCAAAACACCTACCTGCCATTTCACTAAAAATATTGTTGAGTTTCGGTAATCTATATAGCTGCATCCTGTTCGTTAAAGCTGTTTTAAGGAGTTTTAAATTATATGTTTAGGTGTACATTGAATATGTGTAGGAAAGTCTTTGTGTAGCCTTCATGCAGCATTCAGGAGAGGAATATATATGTGAGGAGAGCACCTGGCTAATCATTCTCCACTGGCTCTAAACAGACTTATCTTACAAAACATTATTCAAATTGGCAAGATAATTATATAAAACATTTATGTTACAAAATATTTATTTTTCAAATATATGCTGTTCTTTTGAATTTTCTATTCATCAATGAGTCCAGAAAAAAAAAAAAAAAAACATATCATGGTTTCCACAAAAATATTAAGCAGCACAGCATTTTCTACATTGATAATAATAATTAATGTTTCACTAGTCATCATATTAGAATGATTTATGAAGGATCATGTGACACTGAAGACTGGAGTAACGATGCTGAAAATTCAACTTTGCCATCTCAGGAAATAAGTTTAAGATTTTTAAAATAATTTTAAATAGTTATTTTAAATTGCAATAATATTTTACTGTTTTACTGTATTTCATCCTTGATGAGCATTTTAAAAAATAAAAATAAATAAATAAATAAAAAACGTTTAAAAAATTTGTACCAACCCCAAACTTTTGAATGGTAGTGTACATGGTAATGCAATGATACTTCGTGTTAGTGAATTCAGTTTACAGTTTTAATAAATCTACTTTATGTTATACTTCTGAATACCATAGATGACTACCTTTTTCTGATAACATTTTTCAAATCCATCAGATTGTATTTAGATAATTTGATGAGCACAAGCAAGAATATGCTGAGAGCATCCAGTTAATATTGCGTGTGCGGTTAAAGATTTTCTCTCCAAACTGAAGTATTGACTTTTAAAAACTTTTTTCATTCGTGAAATCATCCAAAGTGTGTCTGGAAGAGGTCATTCTGATGAGATATGGTGTAGATGAGTCTTATCTGACTCACTGAGCGTGTCTTTATCTGGAGTTGGGGAGAGTAGGAGTTTCAGGCGGAGTCTCTTAGACTAGAGTGTCGCTCTGTTCTCTTTCAATAATTCAGCTTGGAAACTGGGCACAATGACGCCACTGCATAGGGTGGCAGGCCTGCTGACAGGTAGGCATCCCGGCCAGAACGTGTCACAAGAAGAACTTGCACGCTAAATTATTCACACACAGACACATGCAACTCTGTCAATGAGCTTTTAAAGCCCTTTTTGTGTCTTGTCAATCAGTCTTACTCAGATCTACAACTCGGAACCACCTACCGGGCCTTTTCTTGTTGTGCTTTGTTCCTGAAATTAATTGGAACTCAGATTGGTCTTTAGCTGTCACAAAGTAATTATCTTTTCTGGGGTTTTCATTAGCTCTTATTCCCAAAGTTAAATCTGCACGTCTATGAATCGCTCTCTCGGTATGCTCAATCAATGCTACAGTAATTAATGGGGTGCAACCACAGAAACCGAAGATTCTCGGGTCAGCAGCATGTGTCCAAATTTCAGTCTTAACCGTTCTATTTCATCAGAAACGATCTTAAAACAGGGATTTAAGTGTAATTTACAGAACTTATCCTTTAATAGTGAGAATTGGAGCCTAATCTAAAATGTGACCAAACTTTTTAGAGCTCCCCAAATAATGTTTAACTACACCCTGCTAATTCAATTAGGAAAATCATCCTACAAATGGTTTACTTGTACTTTCTTTGTATTTTAACATTGAAAAATGACATTTTTTAAGCAGACTTATTTTGACCTCAGTGACTGAAATCCACTTTGTCCAGTATATTGGAACGTCTGGCATTCCTTACTCATGAATTAATCATCATCAGTCACATGCCCGTCCTCTGCCATGGCAACCTGTGCGTATTTGTGTAACCATGGTGATGGATTAGCCATGAATACTCAACAGAAAAGTGTGAGTAAGGTTGAACAACAGAAACCATACAATAGTGATCGTGATCGCTCTCATTTCATCAGAGGAGAGTGATAATTCATACATCTTGTTGTATTCTCTACTATATGAGTAGTCTGGCCAGAGATATTACATCCAGCCAACCATCCAGAACGCAGGGAGAGATTAATGTAACGGTGGGGTTACAGTCGAGCAAAAGCACAAAGGCATGGGGGTTCTTAATATAGCACACCTCTTGGCCAGGTGCTGGGTTCCAGCTGGTATTCATGTTTTATTGATAAGCTTTGCTTCTTTATTAAGGTCTTTTGTATATGGGCAGTCATCCAACGAGAGTTAATAAAGCCACACATTGTTAACCCAGTGTGCTCAGAGCCTGTTTGATCATTCGACAGTCTTAATTCCAAACTGTGCGGCAGAATGTTGACATGTAGCAAGCCACATTTTTTAAAAGAAAATGTTCACCTAAACTAACAAAAATGTTGCCATTTATCCATCCTAAACTTGTTACAAACCCATTTTTTATTTTTTATTTTTTGGGTACCCATGAGAATACATATTTTAGAATGTCCACTGTGCTCTTTATTTATGGAGATTGGAGCTGTGAAGAAGTGTGATGCTCCAAAAATAATTTAACAAATACCATCTTCTATGCTATTTTATACATTTTCTAAATGTGTTTAATAGTTTTTTTTGGTTTTTTGTTTTTATCAGGGAAAATACAAAAATAGTGGCTAATCTAAAAATGTCATCACTTTGCCATAGCCTTATTATGTATTATGCCTATACAAATTGATTGTTGTTTCATAAAAGAGAACAACAATAAAAACGAATTAAATCTTGGAAATGCTTCAGTATGAACTACTGTTCAAAAGTTTGGGCTGAGTAATATTATGTATGTACTGTTTGTATATATATATAAATATAAAATAACATATTAAATTCAAGTAAAGTATAGACATTTAACATTCTATTTCAAATAAGTTTCTTAACTTTTGGAGTTTCTATTCATCAAAGAATCTTGAAAAAAATGAAAAATGTATCGGGGGTTTCCACAAAAAAATGTTAAGCACCATAATTGTTTTTAACATTTGACAATAATAAAAAAAATGTTTCTTGAGCTAAAATAAATAAATAAATAAATCTGCATATTTGAAAACACAGGAAAGATTTACATGTTAAAATAGGCAATTTAAATCCGCACAAGATCCGATTTTCCACTTCCAAATGTGGTTTTAAATTAGATACATATCCGATATCTGGACATCCAACTTACACCTAAACACATTTATCCAGATTCCCCTTGGAATTCCAAGCTAACACAAGACGGTAACACATAAGTCATAGTTAAGAATTAGTTAATAGTGAGAATTGGACCCTAATCTAAAGTGTGACCAAACCTTTTAGTACTGTAGTGAATGTGCCCACAACCCAGGGCCCACAAATACTACACACTGCATGTCACACGGTTTGTGTAAAAACGAAACCAATACACGTACAGTTAGCTCAGGGCGACGCTGTTTTCAGTGCAGTAAATGTACCCACTGTCGCGTTTACAATGTGCATGAACACGACTCTCGCACCCCTGAAACTTCGGGACATGCAAGTTGTGAACTACTTGGACGATTGGCTGAATCTAGCTCGATCACACTCAGAGCTCATAGAACACAGGACCATATTACTTGAACATCTCAAGAATCTAGGTCTCAGAGTCAATTGGACAAAAAGTTTGCTGACTCCCATTCAGAGAATATCTTTTTTGGGCTCAGAACAGGACTCGCTCTCTATGACAGCGCGACTGTCGCCAGACCTCAGACTGAACATTCAGCGTATCACGAAATCCTTCCTCTGTGGCACTATAGTCCCGCTCAAAAGGTTTCTGAATATGGTGGGTCTCATGGCCTCAGCATCATCAGTGCTCCAGTTGGGTCTGCTTCGCATGCACCCGATGCAGCTATGGCTAAAAGCGCAAGTACCACCTCGGACTTTTTCGCCTCAAGGTCGATCACAAATGCGCCACAGCTCTGAAACCTTGGAGCGCAATCAACTGGTACCATTTAGGTGTAAACCTGGGGACTTCCTCGAGTGTGAGAGTGGTGTCCATGAATGCCTCCACCTTGGGATGGGGAGCGCTTCTCGAGGGCAGACCGTTCTTTATCCAGTGGTCAGAATGGGAGAAGCTCCTACACAAAAACTGTTGAGAAATGATGGCTTTTGTCCCCGAATAAAAGTTCACCACGTCTTGGTCTGCTCTTGGTCACATGTCAGTGGGGGCCTACATAAATCATCACGGTGTCGTCAGGTCCTGAAACATTTACATCCTGACGGAACGCCTCCTGGTCTGGGCTCAGCACAATCTGCGCTCAATGAGAACAGCACATGTGCCTGGTCATCTGAATTTAGGACCAAACAGACTGTCCAGAAAACAATGTTCTAGCAGGAGAATGGTCACTGCACCCGCAAACGGTCCTACTGCTGTCGGAGACATTCGGCAGAGCGCAGGTAGACCTGTTTATGTCCTGAGAAAACGCTCACTGTCCAAAGTTTTTCTCCAAGAGCAGGGATGCGCTGGCCCACTCTATGCTTTTCCCCCTGTCTCGCTCCTGCCTCAGGAATTGGAACGAATCAGAGAAAACGGATGCTCAGTGCTGCTTGTGACTCTGCTCTGGAAAAACCAGGCTTGGTTCCCAGTTCTGATGCATCTGACAAGCACTGCCCCATGGCCAGTACCGATGAGGAAGGACCTTCTCTCTCAGGCCAAGGGTTCAATTTGGTACCCTCGCCTGGAGCTGTGGTCCTGGAGCTGTGGCAAACATCCTGGAGGGAGTGTTAAACTCGATCACGCGTTTAGAAAAAACGCCAGTCACTGGGGAAGAACAATCTGGTCATCTGCTCCCTTAATGGAGCCAAGAGGCTAAATCCTCCCAGACACCCCTCAGTCCCCATGTGGGACCTTTACACGGTTTTGGAAGCCATGAAAGGTGCCCCGTTCGACCCAATCCACTTGTCGGACATGAAACATCTGCCATCGAAGACAGTGTTTCTTATGGCTCTTGCTTCAGTGAAGTGCATAGGGGATGCCCACTTTGTTGGGAGGTGATGTAGTGGGTGCAAAGCGCCCCCATTGGATCTGACATCACCAAGCGCCTCTCTCGATAGGCTGCTGCAGTTGCCGTAGGACAGCCAATAGGCACGCGAGCCGCCTTGCCTATGTCTGGATGCTGCCGCAATGCGTTTTGCATTCATTCAAAATTAAGGATAATTTTTGGCTTCAATATCTCGTGGAAAGTAGATTTTCCCCAAGCGTAAGATATTACGCAGTACTCGATCCCTCTTCTTTCGTTTTCAAACTTTGCCCCATCATTTTTTTAAATAACAACTAAAATAGCAGCTTTGCTACTGAAACCTATTTCTCAGAAATCAGGTGATAATGTCACTGTTTTTGTAAATAAAATAACAAGCTTCTTTACATACAGACACACTCAGGTTTTCTCAGGTCACATCTTTGCATTAAGACATGCAGTGTAAACAACTTCTTTCAAAAACGTTCAAAATCTGAAGGACCCCAAACTTTTGAATGGTAGTATATAATTTTGGAAATTAAATAAGTTTGGAATCACATGAATAATTGATAACAGAATTAAAATTTTGGGGTGAAACATTCCTTTAATATGCTTATTAAATGCATTTTTAATATATTTAGTAGCGTTCACTCAAGCTATAAGTCATTCAGGTCGCTCACTGAGATCTTGATCTATTGTCACGTTTGACTGATCTCCTTAGCTGAGATATATTATGTGCTGGAGGCGATATCTGTGGTTGACAGAAAAAAAAACACAAAAATTGACTGGGTTTGCACAGTGTTTCATCATACTGTAATCTGTGTTTGAAGATATTTCTGCCTTGTCATTCCTCTCAAATTCACGTGTAACGTATTTTGTCCATGCTTACCAGCACTATACTAATGTAGATCGATAATGCTCTCTCTTCTTTTGTCTCTACCCTGCCTGTCTTTCTGTTTCTATCTGTCCTTACTCTAATGCTGGCTGATATAGAGGAATAGTCCGGTAAGCTGTTTATACGTTATCCTCTTTTAGAGTGGCATCTTCTTCTAACATTTCTTTTGGCATGGTGAAGTTTGCATGCTTGGTGTTTAATACACCGTTAGGAACTGATCTAGGATCAGTTTGCGTGTTTAGGGATGGACTGTTGGATATTGAAACAGGCAATAGACTGTATAGACTGTGCAGTTTGTGCTTTGTAGTTTCATTATTGATAGATAGATAATGTCATTTAGCATCTGTTTGTTTATGCATGTTTCACTTCAACACTTTTCCTCTGTTTATTATTTGAATGAGTGGGCCACCAGCCTTAGTCATCAGCCCAGCTCTTATATTAAAGCATTTGGTTGCATGCCAATTATTTGCTTGCCCACTCTTGGCTCTGATTGGTGGTGATCATTGCTTACAGCCTATTGGATCTTTCCTAATCACTCAGAACTCACAGGCCACACTCAGACTGAACTCAGAACCATTGTTCCTGGGCTTAATCCCACTATGATAGAGGGAGAATATCAATTTTCTTGTCCTTTCATTTCTAACTAGTGGAATTTGGTGCAGGAGTATTATGCATGAGCACAAAATTTCCCACCATATGGCGAATCTTTGAAATCTCTTTGTAGTGAGCTGAGCAGTACATACTTTCTATGCTTTGGGATCCTCTGAAGACTGAACAGTGCTGAGACAAGCAGTACTACACAGGTGCAATGTTGGCAATAAGTGCATAAAAGCCATTTTCAAGAATTGTAATCTGAATGTTTCATACCTTCTCGAGCTACATTATATAATAAACAGATACAAATTGAAGTAATTCACTCTTCAACTCTCACTGCCTTCATTGGGTCTCAAAAAAACTGATCTTTAATTGAAAAACATCACAGCATAAAGGTGAACAGTCTAATTCACAACATGCAGTTCAGGAACAGAGGTTGCTTTTGATCGAAGTCTGTATTACTGATTTATCACTTTCTGACTAGGTGTCTCTTCTCTCTTCCTTTTTGCTGGTCACAGAGACGTAGCCCGGTAAGTGCCTTTTCCAATAATTTTTCTGTTTACCAGTCACACAGAGGGAGAACTTTTGAATTGTGAAGATACTTCTGTTATTAATTTAATGAAACAAGCAAAATATTACATTTTTAAAGAGACTTAATAGATGGTTTTTCCATATAAAGATGCAAAGGTCAGGATTAGTAAAAAAAAAAAATATTATTTTTATTTTCAAAGTTATTAACTACTACTCTTTTCAGACATCACTTTTTAAAGAGCTAACATTAGTAGTCTTATTTACTTTTTCTCCTTCATCTGTTTTTTCTACCTAATAAAAGGCCAATGTGAATATAAATAATGCTAACTTTTGTGCTATAGATCCATGACACCAAAAAATGCTTACTTTGGAAATCAAGCAAATGCCTTTTTAATAATTCGTATGCTTGCCATAGTGCCTTGCATAAGCTATGTTAAAGATTCTTAATCTTAATACTGTATGATATCTATTATCTCACCTTTTAGTCTAAAGAATGCCATTTTGACTTAAAAGGAAAAAAAAATGCTGTGATCTATTTGATATTTATATCCGCCATGAATAACCTGTAATGTAATATTTGTTACTAATGCATCAGTGAGTCAGATAAGATTGTTCATCAGTCAATCATAGGAATTTTTTTGTCAGCTGTAGAAAGCATTATGAAACAGGAATTTACTGGGCATCAAGGCATTGGTTCTGTCTGAGTTTGACTCACCATTCCCTTGATTAAATGTACCCACAATGCAATATTTTCAGCTGATGAGCAAAATGGTGTTATTATGAGCTTTTAGTCTTATGAATGTTTTGGCCTTCTGTTTGTTTCAGGGGCTGGCAAAAAGAAACCCTAGTAAGTACACTTAATATAATTTATTCTTAGGTTTATAAGTCTGTTGTCTATGTATATTTAAATCTGACAAAAATAGTTAGTCTGGAATTACATTATCCTGTGAATAAAGAAGTGTGCTTGCAGATGTACGAGTAGGTGTAGTGTATTTGTGTTCATGTGAACATGATGTTATTCTCAGGTGAAGAAATTGCACGACCGAGACGTGTTGTTCCAACGCCCGCACCAGCTCTTGCCCCGTCTACAACACCTGCATCTGCGCCTCCACCTGCGCATGCGCCTGTGCCCACTCCAGAGCCTGCTAGGTATCTATACGCACATTTACACACTTTTTGTCTGTTATTTCTAAGGGTATTATTGTTAAAAAAAAACTATTACAAATAGGACAACTAGCAAAGAAAAAAATGAAACTAAAATAAAAATAGATTAACTCTGCAGAAGACCAAAAACAAAAACTAAAAAACTAAAGCAAATTACAGAGAAAATATTTTTTCAGCTGGATGGTCTGATTGAATTGCCTGACTGTAATCTTTAATGTAACTGCTCAATTAAACAGATTGCTTTTTGTACTTGGCATTTAGGTGTAGGTAAAATACATTTTGATAAAATAAAATAAAAAGATTATGATAAATGCAGCAATAATGGCACATTTATATTACATTTTATTGTCCGCAAGTACTGCAGTATGTAGTGTTGGTGTGAATTTTACCAAAATAATAATCATGTTAATGGTTTTATTTTCACTATGCAGTTTCTGATAAAGTAAATTGTGTGTCTGTCTTCATAGGTAGATTAAATAATTTGTGCAGTTACTACAATTTCTGGAACTGAACTTAAATCAAATGTTTCAAGTGTTTATTTACCAATTAAAATATCTAGTTCAGTCATTAAACTCTAGAGGACGCAGGCTAATAGGTCCTTTACATGCAATCCGCAAGCAATTACTGTACATCATCGTCTTTATGCAATAGCAGTATATCTTACATGTGTCTGTGTACAGTATCTATTACCAGTAGCAAGTCCATACACGTAGCAGATCTAGTGGACCAAATAAAAATGAAAACTAGTTACATTCTAAATAAAAAACTATACTTACTGTATATATAGCCATGCTTGTTGCAACTTACATGTAAGAGTCTTTTAAAAATTGTAGTTGTTTAACTGGGTCTAAATGGATTATTTGACAAACTGTTAGAGTTGCAGCCTGAATGTGACTAGTCTGCATCTGTGTGGATGAGTCATGCAGAGCTGGCTTAATTCTCCTCCATTTTAGTAATAAGAAATCTCCGGTGCCAGAGGATGCAACAGCCTTATTCGGCCCTCCCTTGGAGACAGCCTTTGATGAGCAGAAGACCAGTGAAGGTACAGTATATCGCCATATCCTTACCTCTTAGTTCTGCTCATGGATGTTGATCTGTCATTTACAGGGTCACTGAATTTTAACCATTCACAATCCAGTAGAAGCTGATCTCAGCTTCTTTGTTACTTTATTCACTTGAACAAAAAAAATGGTAACACTTTATTTCGATAGTCCACTTTAGACATTCTCTTAACTATAAGTAACTTTGCAACTACATGTCAACTAACTGTCATTAGAGTATTAGTAGACTGTCAGCTTAATATCTGCTAACACTTTATTTTGTTGGTCCTCCAACAGATATTCAACTGACTACAAGTAACTTGGCGACTACAAGTTAACTTATTCTACTAACCCGAACCCTAACACCTAACCATAACCTAACAGTCTACTGACAGTGTACTATAATATACTAATACTCTAATGACGGTTAGTTGACATGCACTGTAGTTGAAAAGTTACTTATAATTAGGATAACGTCTAGCTAAAATGACTATCGAAATAAAGTGTAACCAAAAAAAATTCTGTCATATACAATATGTGTCTTCAGGAGACTCACAGAGGGTTTGCTCATATTTCAGCTATAAGTATTTAAAAAGTACTGTTTGTTTGCTTATCAAATCAGCATTGGTTTTTTGCTTTATGTAATGTGAACTATAGAACAAAACATTCATCAGTGCGTACTAGTTGTGTTGCCACCCACTCAATTCCATTTGCAGCAGTTGAGATTAAAACAATTAGATTTACTGGTCATTTATGATATAGGGATAGATAAGTGTTGCATGGTGATTCTTTCCTCTGAGTCACACAGCTGTTAATTCTGCTCCCCATCAATTGTGTATCATGTCCTTTTCCATAAATTAGTGGTGATAGAGGAACCTGAGGTTTGGGGTGCACCCCTGCCTGAGCAACACCTAGAATCCTCACTGGCAACACCTTTTTCTACAGGAAGTAAGTCATTGCTTGTGTGGCATGATTGCCATCATCCTGGTATCATAAACCCATAAGTTTTAAAATGGTGAACGGTCGACTGAATGGAAAAATAATGATTGCCTCCAGTTTTTTTTTTTTAATTTTAACTTTCCCTTTGGCAGTCTCCATATTAACCTACTAATTTCTCAAGTCATTAGCTATGAAAGTAATAACGAGTCATCCAGCTCATCCTGTATTCATGTCTTTTGGTGACGGTTTACTCAACGTGGCCTATTTTCATGTGTGCCTATGCTTAAAAAAAAGCAAAATGACGCTGAGCTGTTTTTTGGGCTTAAGTTAAGCATAAAGCTATGAATATAAATGAAAGTTTGGCCTTCTAATAGTGATATATCTCTGAATGTACTGTATATTTATATATGTTAATACTAGGGCTTGTATGACTATTCATTTTAACTAGATGACTAGTTGTCTAGGAAAGTAGTCGACTGTGACCTGAGTCAGTATTTACCCTCTATCAATGACTCAAAGAATAGCTGCCTCAACAGTCTGGGCTGCTGGAGAGTTTGATGCGGTGAGAATTTAAAAAAGTGCTTAAACTATTAATTTAACAAAGCTAATAACATATGCACCTACATGGATGCAGTTTGTGTACAAAGGAAAAATCTTTTTGTTGTCATATGAAACAGACTAAAGACTAGTTGTAGATCTAATGCAACTCTATTTCTCATTGCTAAAAACTTGCTATGTCAATAGAATATAATAAATAATTTCTAACCAGTCTTTTGAAATTAGAATGAAACAGTAATGATGTAAGCTTTGGTGTATTTTTAATTAAATAAATTTACAAACATGTTACTTCTGAGAGGTCTAGTAAAATCTGGTTTCTATCAAATTTTATATGGCCCTTTAAAAGCACCCTTGTGGCCCCCTGATGGTTCCCGGGTCCTAATTTGAAAACCCTTGGACTAGAGAACTAATCATAGAAATGATTGACTAATTGACTTGTCTGTGCAAGCCCTGGTAGATACTTACTAAACAAATAAGTGATCCTTACATAAATTAACATAATATGAAAGTAGTGTGAACTACTAGGTCACAGAGAGTGAAGGGTTATCATCGAGTTTGAGCTATTCATCCCATGCCACTGTCCCTTTCTGTTGTCCCTGACTGCCTGAATGAGACCATGCATGGTGCTGTGGGGCATGGAGACGTGGCCTACGGGGGGTGGGGGGTGAATGTGAGAGCTTATCTTAGCTGCACTAATGTCATTGCAGCTCTGCCTCCGCTTCCGCCTAAGAATGTGCCGACCTCCCCTCCTCCGATTGAATCTCCTGCTACAGAGCCTACTGGTAAGATCCCCCTCCACCCAGGTTTCAGATAACAGGGGTCTTATACTGCACCTGGAGGGCCATTGCCCTGCAGATTTTAGTGCCACTCCTCAACTAACTAATTAAGGTCTAGATGCATACTAGAAACTTCCAGGCAGGTGTGTTGGATTTAAATTTTGCAGGATGTTGGCCTTCTAGGAGCAGATTTGGACCCCTAGTCTATACCAATGTTGGACCCCAACAAGTGTGTGATTGGTTTCTTTTGTGCTTGTCTTTTTGCACTCAGACTTTTATCTCTTGCCTTCTGTTTATGGCCTGCTAATAATTTGTTCTGTTCCTTTATGTAGATGTACAGAAAGAAGAGGAAAATTCAAGGCCGACCTCACAGAGGCCCTCTATAACTGATCTGGACAACATCTTTGGTCCAGAAGACTCTCCAAAACCTGGTCAAGATGCTGAAGACAAATGGGTTTGCTTCAATGATGCGTCACCTGAAAGACTTCCTCCCTCTGAAGGAGGAGTGCTAGCACCTCCACTCCCCTTGTCTCCACCTCCCCCAGCAGAACCAGCACCCCCACTACCTAAATCACCCCCTCCATCTGAGGAGCCGAACCTTTCTTTACCAAAATCTTCACCTCCTGCTGCAGATCCGGCACCTTCTCCTCCTTCCAGTGAGTCACACAGGGAAAGCCCCCCACCTGTTCCAAATGTTCCCAAAGATACCACTCCTTCTCCTCCAACTGTCCCGCCCCCTCCGGTGGAAGAGGCCCCGGCCCCACCGACACCAGATGATCTTTTTCAATCCACTACGGACTTTTCGTCATGTGCTCCTCTGACAGAGACCCGATCAGACTCAATCAACAGCCCGCCGAGCACTGTAGAGACAAGTGTACGCACAATCCCTCCACCCTTGGTTCTGAACCAAGAGGACGAGAAAAGCCCTGATGAGATTCCATCAAAAGAGGACCCCAGTGAGAGCAGCACTTCACCCAAAGAGATTTGTCAAGGACCACGTTCAACACCTCCTCCTCCACCACCTCCTACATACAGGGCGGTAGTTTCATCACCAGGGCCCATTCCTCCAGCTAGTACAGGTGGAAATGAAAGTGGTGAGTCTGATCTAAAAACATAACAGTCAACCGAACATTAACGGTTTAGTTCACCCGAAAATTTGCATTCTGTCTATCATTTACTTACCCACCTGTATTTTGAAACCAGAACGAGGTTCTTTTTTTTTTCTGTGGAGCTCGAAATGAGTTATTAGCAGAAAGCTAGTCTTTGAAAGTAAATGATAACCATGGCTATCAAGCAAGATTTTCCACAAAAAAAAAAAACAGTGTATACCTCAGTCTGTTCCTCACACAAAACTATCATATGCCTTCAGAATACTTGATATAGAGCTAAAGTCAATATGACTTCTTTTATTATGCTTTTTGGTCAACTGCTGGTCCCCATCCACTCTCATTATTTGAATGAGAGCAGCTCAGACATCTTGTGAACTTCTCTTGTATGTCACTGAAGAACGAAAGTCACACAGGTTTGAACGATGGGTAATAATCAGTATTTAATTTTAGTTAAACTAACCCTTATTACATATAGCCTTTGTTACTGTTATAAGCAGTAACAATAGTTTCTGTATATTGAAAATGCATATAAATTCAGTTAAGTCTGAATTTCAAGTCGTTCTGCTCTATTCACCACCATGTTATATGAGTTTTTACAGGAGAGCCTTCTTAGTAAGAGGGGTGAAGTGAAATACATCTGACAACTTGTTCTCGCTCGTTATTATTTTCTATATAGAGGCATGTACTGTACATTCTCACCACTCTTGCGCATAATGGTACTACTACATTTTTGGTTTAGTGTTTTAGCAGTGCTCTAATCAGAAGTGTCATGCATCTATTTTTATATACCGTAAACATTCATTTTCAAAGATACAAATAATGTTTGGTTTTCATTGTTTCCACAGTGTATTCTAAGCATTCTGGCTTTCTATAGATGATTTGTGAGGCTATTTTGATCAAGTATCATAACTTTTTTTTAATGTACTGCCATTTCATCCAAATCAGCTGGAACTCTTGAATGGGCTTGATGCATGTTACTGTTTGTATGGCTTTGCTTTAATGGAATGCTCTTGCTCCACAGGCTCCTCCTCCCCTGTACGCCCATCTACCCCTTTGGCTACCAGCAGCTCTCCCCCTCCCCCTCCCCCACCTCGGCCACCCTCACGACCCAAACTGCCTCCAGGGAAACCAAGCGTAGGGGATGTGGTACGTGATAACATTAGAAAATTACAATACCTTTTTAAATGGGAAATATTACTGTCTCTGTTAGTTCCCAACAGTCTTATTGTCACTGCCCTTTTTTATGACCCAATTCATTTAAAAAAACTCGTTCCAACCAGACCCTGTCAAAAAGTTGACATTTACTACATATTTATAGCCTGGTTAAAACCAGACAATTCTCAGTTGTAACTGAGTTATGGTCTGGCAAAGCGTCATAGACAAATCATTTTCAGAGGGGCGTCACCAACGGACATTGCGGATAGACCTAAAACCAATCAAAGCGGTGAAGGAGAGGACGTATGCAGAGCGGCGGAGAAACATCTCTGAGTGTTGTTCTTTGCTCGGTTTTTAACAAAAAGGAAACGTTCAAATGACTTAAAACAGACGCGAGTGGTGCTCGACGGCGGCATCCATCTTTGTAATGTAGGCTACAAAATCTGCTTCAAAATCCCAGCGCTGTCGTCATCATGTAAAGGCCGCCCAAACGTTTCTGATTGGTGCCGCGATTTCGGCGAATTGGAAATGGGCTTGAATGAGCTCTTTGCCAGACTAACTTTTAGAGCAAATCTAAATTTGCCGGAAGTTGTATGGGTTTTCCCAGGCTAACATATTTAGTTTTCATTCAACAAAATTCTTTATTTATTGAAACAAGAAAGAGTAAACCCGACCAGAATGATATACTCCTACTCTTTTGGTACTGAATATCCCCTCTGTCTATTCTTTCTTATCCCTGCTTTTCCTATCAGAATCGGCCGTTCAGCCCCCCTGTACACTCGTCAAGCCCCCCTCCTCTGGCTCCGCTGGCCCGTGCGGAGAGCACCTCTTCCATCTCCTCCACCAACTCTCTGAGTGCTGCCACCACTCCCACCGTCGGTAAAGAGCTCTCCGTGTCTGTGTCAGGTGTGACTCCATTTCCCATCATTCTCTCTGCTTTGCCATGCTGCTCCGTCTTTATGTGTCTGCTCTGGAAATCAGCCTTTCTATTTAGAATTCAGTGTAACAGGAGCCTCTGTTTCTGAAGGTGCCATAGTGCTCAGTATTCATCACAGTTTTGAATTCACGGTAGTGATATTTTCACAGCTTTGTTTTAGTTTAGAGTAAAACAGAATGGTGATGCTGCTGATGTTGCTGTTTACATTTACATTTATTCATTTAGCTGTCACTCTTATCCAAAGCGACTTAAAATTGCTATATATGTCAGAGATTGCACGTCTCTGGAGCAACTAGAGGTTAAAACCCCTTAACTGTCACCGTCCCGGTACCGGGACGCCTAACTTTACTTCACTATATTTCTATTAAATCCTAATCTAATTATGACAAATTATATATTTTTGGAAAGGTCTAAGACTTCTAATTAAATATTCGACCCCTGTTTTGTGTTAAAAATTATGTAGGAAGAGTAATTAATGAATTTATGACAAGAGTGCACCTAAAAAAATCTGCATCATAACAGGAGGTCTGACCTTTGTCACAAAAAGTTGATGAACCCACTTTTAATCATTGAAACTTCTGTTTTTATGCTAAAAGTTCATAATAAAACATATAATCTAGTATTTTTCAATAAAAAATAAAAAGTATAGTATAAAATTATCCTCTAAAAAAGATAATATATATGTATATATTATCCTCTAAAATATAATAATATTTTTTATCGCCTTTTTTTATTATATCACACATTTTAGTAGTTATCATAAATTAGGTAGCATTTGAAAGCTTATAAACTCAGAATTCATCCTGTGAAAACCATTTTATAATTGAACGTTGCGTTACCATAGAAACGGTACTTATTTTATGAGGCTCCTCCCCTTTTGGGCATCCTTATTTTTCATAATTTATGATCAAAACCTTTATTAATCTTGACAAAACACATATTTTCAGAAAGGTCTGAGTCTGAAGGTTCCAAATTTTGTGACAAAATTGATATTTGGACAGAAATGTATTAATTTGTTAAGGCAGAATGTAGACAACTAAATTCAATGGAATTCAATGGCACCCGGTGGCTATTTTTGGTACTACGCCTAAACAAAATCTCATGGGAACTTCAATTTTTGTGATATCAACTTCAAATTTGGAACATAACTTGGTTAGATTTATGGCTTTGATTTTATAGTAATTTTAGAGTAAAAGTATTTTGTAAAATATATATATTTTATATAAAATAAAAATATATAGTACAGTATATTTGATTTACTGTGAATTAAAACTTCCATAACTTTTTCATACTTTCATTTTTTGAAGTGTTTTCACTTCAGCAATAATCTGCTGAGTGTTTTCTTTAAAACAAGACCAAACTTGGGTATATATTCCAAGGAATTCTTAAATTAAAACCATTTAAGTGTGAATAGAGCATTTAACCCCCATTCTCAAAAAGGGGGGGGTGACAGTTAAGGGGTTAAGTGTCTTGCTCATGGACACATTGGTGTCTCACAGTGGATTCAAACCCGGGTCTCTCACACCAAAGGCATTTGTCTTATCCACTAGTTCCATCACAACCCCAATTTAGTTTATAATACTGAAGTGAAATCTCCAGCATTCTGCAGCCATGTATTAGATCGCTGGAAATGATGGTGGAGGATTCATTGTTTTGCTGAAAATATAGTTTTGCTTATCATAGACTGAATAATAGCTTGACTAGGTGTTCCTAATGTGCATAATTTTGTCTTCTGCATTTTTAAGTGGAAATATGGCTAGGATTCATTTTGATATTATATTATATTATATTATATTATATTATATTATATTATATTATATTATATTATATTATATTATATTAGTTAAATTAGAATCTGTAAAATTCTTAATCTGTATGAATCTTTACATTGTAAAAAATAAACAAAGGCCTAAAAGGAGTTTTGCAACTTAAATGCTTGAGGTAACTTGCAGTGACATATCTTAAAATATATCAGTGCCTTTGTTTTGTATGAAGATGCACACCAATAATGTGTTTTCTAAGGCACGTTTATTAAAGTAATTTAAATACTCTTAATTTAACTAAGGCCTAGTACTGGCTTAGTCTAAGCCCTGTCTGTGAATCCAAGCCAATGTGTCTTTGCTGGACTTTTCAAAATGCCATGTATTGCATCTGCTGTACCAGTCTGAATGCTTTTATTGGAAGCTTTCATTGATGCTAGGCAGGGAAAGATTTTTTTTCCATATTTTCCTGAGATTTGCAAACAGTTTTGTCATGTGAATCAAGAGTTTATTAATCTAGAGCTTTTCATGGATGTTGGTCTATCTGTTGCTTGTGCTATTCTATCTAATCCTTTTGAATTTTTTTTTTTCACCATTCCATTCACTTTTCTTCAGTTATCGTCTTTTTAGTCTTTTAAATATGTGCCGTGCATACATTGTGACGTCTGAGTTTAATGACTTTTTACTTTTTAGTTTTTATTTGCAATTATTTGTCATTTAATTTGAAGTACGTTTATTTTTTTATTTTTTTTTGTGTGTTTTGTCGTCTTTCTTGTCCTGTCTTTTGGGCTGACGTATTTGTCTGATGTCAGAAGATGACGCTTTTGTAGACAAACTTCCCAACTTTGAGAGACGGGCAGACGTTCCAGCAGGTACGCTATGAAACCCTCCTGATTTAATGGATGGGATGGAGACCACTGATGTAACAATGTAACAAATGGTTACATTACCCAGTCAGTTGTCAGAGCATAGCTCATTCATGGTGATGTTTTTTTTTTTTTGTTTTTCACCAGTGACTAAACTAGTAAATAAGATTAAAAATGAGTTGATTTTCACATGAAGAGTCTTTAAAAGAATTTAGTCATTTGTGACTATATGTCTTTGGGCAGAATTGTTGGCTTGTTGTCGATTACAGAAATACATTTATAATGGAATTTTGGCATTAGAGCTGGCAGTACAGATAAGAAACTTTTAGAAATATGCTACTATCACAGCACAAACCGTAACTAATGTAAGAATAACTATAACAACTGAATGGAGGCTTGTTAGCAGACTAGTTTGAGTTTTTATCAGTTTATATCTGTGCAGTTATATTTCAACTCATGTCTGAGCAGCTAAAAAAGTGAACATGGATGCACTCTTTGCACTCAAGTTGAACTCTTAGTAATATATTTGGTGATTAAAAAATGTATACTTCATATTCTCAATTCTGATAGGATGAGCCATATTTGAAGCTGTTAAAAAATAATACATACAGTGAATTATTGTACAATAAAAAAATAATAAACGCACATCTGTGCATGGATATTCTATATGATTTTTTTTAAATTACAATGTTGCTTAACAACTGCAAAATCCTACAGTTAGGTTATTGAACTATATACTTTGCAGAATAACTATTATGATTGTGATTATTAATAAATTGAACTGTCTTTTGTCATATGACTGCTATTGTATAAAATAATGCATCTTTATGTAGTGATGAGCAGCATACCTCAGATTCTGTCCATAGACTTTAGGTTATGAAAGACTGGCATTTTTGCACATACATACATATATATATATATATATATATATATATATTAACACCATTTGCCACAGTTTTACATCCATTTTGAATTCTTTCTGCCATATTTTGCTCTTCACATCCATGAAAGGTTATGTGTCTATAAAGCCCATCATGCTTGTCAGAGACTGCTCCGTCTGTAACACCCCACACTGACATCAAGAATCAGGAACAGAACACTCTTGTAGTCCCTGAAAAGCATCTGTCTGGCTGTAGACTCTTCAGAAAACTCAAAGAGCACCACCATGCTGCTTGAACAGATGACACACACATACATCCTCTCACTGTTTGAAGTGCGGTCTGGAATTTGGCCCAAGTGGCAGCAGTGCTGATCAGTATGCCTGCCTCCACATACGTTTGAGTGGAGAGCTCTCAGATGTTGCACCTGGATAAAAGCATTTCTAACATCATCATGTTACAAAGGTCGAGCTTTAATACTGCCACATAAATTTAGTCTTCACGGGTGAAAATTCACATATGTAAATTTTATCTTCATTATCCTATGTTGCATTTCATTCAAATTCAAATGTGGGATATTCCTACTTGATATCCCTGACTAAAAAGTGCCAAATGCTCAGAGGATGACACAGATAATTTTCTTCGCAATTATTCTGTTGTCAAAAATGACTAATCTGCAAGGGTGTGATTATCACCAGAGGACCATTTACTGTGTTTTATCTCTTATTTCCTTAGCAGTTTTTTAAATTCTATAATGTAAGAACTACATTTAGAGTCATTAATGAGTCATTGAGAGTCATTAATTCATTTTATTTGCTTAAAAGTAGATGTTACTCATCTCCCTGGGTTGCAATATGCAAAAATCATCAATATAACAGTTCAAGATTACACATTGAGATGCTCAGCATTGTTGTACAACTCGCATCTCCTCATTGCTTAAGTGATCTTCACTTCATTCATAGTCCTGGTCTTGGTTTTGTCTAAAGATGTATTACCACTCTCCAGCACAGTAGATGAACCCCTCGTTTGTTTTCCCACTTGTGTCACCCATTACCACCCCCTGTTGCCCATCATCCCTACTGCAACTACCCAATTCACAAATCAGACATGACGAAATAGGCCTATACACCATATACATTTAACAAAACGCAAGCTGTAGCTTATTAGGCACTTTTTAAAAGCACTTTTTAAAAAGCTATTTTAAAAGAAATAGTTTAACCAAAAATGAATTTTACTCATGTTGTTTTAAACCCCATTTGCAATTAATTCTTCCTTAGAACAAAAGTATACACTGAAATAACAAAAACAATATAGTAACAAGTCACGATTTACTGATAATCTTCCTCTCCAGCTAGGATCATTAAACTCAAGAATCAAATGAAGAACAATTCTTTCACAAAAAATTTCCGAAGGCCTGGAATATAGTGCTATGATACTTAATTGTCAAGTAATCATCTTCTTAATGAATACACTTAAATGCAAGGGTGCTTTTTTTTTGTAGAGAAAAAGAGTTACAGTACATGGGCTTAACATGTCAAAAGGGTGACTATTACAGAACATTTTATTTTGGATGATCTATTCCTTCTAAAGTTTAAAAATAAGCTGTTTAACATCATCCTTGAATCCAGAGGCTTTCATTTCTAAGCAGCTCGAATCATCTCAAGGTTTTCATCTGTCCTGATATTATATGTAAACGAATCAGAATGTTAAAATATTTGATAGAATATCATTTTTGGTACACTCTTTAAATCTCCCAGCTCAAAAAATCAAAGTTTGCACATGCATCCTTATTAATAACAACTATAAATCCATAATTCGTCTTGCTGACTGATACTTGCACAAAGATTGAACTATTTTTATTGTTTTCCCTTTTGTGAATGTCTCACACATCATATTCATCCCCATCTAAAGTGAATTGTGACCATCTTTGACCTCATGACCTGTGCCCCCCGGCCCCCATCATTGTGCCGTATGATGGACCTGTGTGTGACTCACGCTACTGTCCTTCTCTCCCCTTCTCCTTCCCTGCCTCTCCTCACTCCCCCCGTCCTTATACCTCCTCCCCCTCCAACACAGAGACAGACCAGCCCTCCCTCGTGTGGTTTGACAGAGGCAAGTTTTATTTAACCTTTGAAGGTAAGTTGGGGTTTATATCTAAGGACGTAGCGCGTGCACACTCAAGTCTCATCTGACTCCCCCCTTTCTCACGCATTCGTTCCTTCATCAAATCACCATGACATCTGCTTTGCTCTGTATATCTGCTTTGCCATTTAACTGTTCATCTTACAATCACTGGCAGCTTTTCTGTTTCTTCACGACATCATATTTCCTCCTGCGTCACTAATATGTCTTCTGGTTCTTGTGGCTCGTGTGCTTTGATCTTTTCATTTCGACTTTGGTCTTGGATCATCATAACACATTGTTTCAGCTTCAGATGCATGGCATTGAAGCTGAGTGTTATCTGTTTCAACTTCCATTCAACTTCTCTTCCATTATTTTTTCCTTTTATCTTATACTGTAGACTTGCGTTCAAATTCAAGCATTCAAAAAAAAAAAAAAGAAACGGATTCACGTAGAAAAGCATAAATTGTATTACATGCTGTTAAAAAAGAAATACTGAAACACTGGTCAAAAATCAGCTTGTGAATGTGATTCTCTGTTTACCACAGTTCAAACCTCTAAACGTATAGTGGTATAGTAATGTTTTGAAACTTTTGAACGCTTAAGCCACACTGAAAATTATATCAAATCTTGTTTCATCTTGTCAAAAATGCTAATATAAATTTTCTATTATTATTTGAAGCAGATAATGCAAACTTTCTGACTTGGTTTGGTATTTTGTTTTAATGCAAAGACAGATTTTTAAGTGTCCTTACATTAAAGCTACACTGTGTGATTTTTACCCCCATCTAGCGGTGAAAAGGTATATGACCATCCAATGAATATTAGTTTCTGTTCCTCTCAATTCCGATTTCGTTCAACTCCTACGGTGGCCAATGTAGTCCAAGATTACCATGGCTTCCAGTTCGACCTCGTCCATGAGTGTTAACTCAAACGTAAACGCGAAAGGCGAAGCTTGAATTAACGGGTATGTCCCTCTTTGCCTAATGTACTTTTTTAAGATGGAGGGGCAACATGGCGACCGACATTAGAACCCCTTACCCTTATGTATTTTCAATGGCATATTATACACTCACGAGAATACTTTATTACTTGAACAAAGTAAATATACATTAATGAGCACATATATTTTGAAAGAACTAAGTGTTTTTAGCTAAGAATAAACTAAAAGAGTAAAACAGTGTAGCTTTAAGGATTGTTTTCTTATCACTGAAACTTAATGATTAATATGTTAAATAATAGATATACTTAATAGTTTTAATGTTACTTTATTTTCCAATGTCTTTGATGTGGACTTTCGATGATATAATTTAACGATATAAACACCCAAAATGACTTTTAGTTAGTTGTCATGTTTGTCTTTTTTTATTTTTAGATTTTTATTTTTGAATTTAGTTATCCAGTTAACAGGCGTGAATTTACGTTTTCTTTACTGGCAAGTATTAACAATGCGATCAAGACGAATAAGCAGAAAAAAGTGTTCATCTGGAAAAGGCATTGTGCTAGATTTTAGGTCTGGGTTCAAGCGCCTTGCTAAAATACAAATGAAGAAATTTGTTATGTCAGCTACTGATTGTATTGTTTGTCTGTTTGTTTGTATTTCCATTTCTCTCATTCTTTGTCACCCACGTATTTGCCTCATGATGTAGCTCATTGACTGATCAAAATTGTTTTTGTCTGTAAACACATTCTGACTTGGAGTCTGTCGTGTGTGTGTTTGCGTGTTTTTGCTCTCTCAGGCTGTTCTCGAGGGCCCAGTCCCCTCACCATGGGGGCCCAGGACACGCTGCCTGTGGCTGCAGCTTTCACAGAGACAGTCAGTGCTTACTTCAAAGGAGCTGACCTTAATAAGTATGACACGATATCTCAAAACAGATTCACATCTAGCTAGTTCTACTTTGTATGTGAATATAGAACAAAATATTTTAGTAAGAGATATTATTAAATGACATGAACATACAGCTGGCCACTAGATATTTGTGTCTGTCTGTATTTTGTGTTACAGTCTAAGGCTGTGTACCAAATCGCCCCATACCCTTAAAGGGTTAGTTCACCCAAAAATGAAAATTCTGTCAGTATTTACTCACCCTCATGTTTTTCCAACCCCGTAAGACCTTCGTTCATCTTCGGTACACGAATTAAGAATTAAAGGGATATTCCACTTTTTTTTTTTTTTTTGGAAATAGGCTCATTTTACCACTCCCCCAGAGTTAAACAGTTGAGTTTTACCGTTTTCCAATGCATTCAGCCGATTTTCTGATATTTAGAAGAATATCAGTAACCAGACAGTTTCTGGTCTCATTGACTTCCATAATAGGAAAAAATATACTATGGAAGTCAATGAGACCAGAAACTGTCTGGTTACTGAAAAATAACTACTTTATTTAAACTATTCATTTTCTTCTCTCTGGGCCTCGAGTCAGGTTACTAGTTTAACAGCGTATGATCTGTTGTTGTACGTCACAAGCATCACACACATGACCAGCGTCGGCCAATAGTCAGCCTAAGTCAGTCTGAAGTAGCTCTACGCAATTACACTAGTTTAACTGACTAAAGGCCCAAAGAGAAAGTAATGAATAGTTGAAATAAAGCCGTTATTTATGTAAGGGTTAATGCCCGACGAGGTGTCCATTGTCAGGTTTTAATGGACGACGGTGAGGCGTAAACCGGCCGACGCGCAGCGGAGGACTGTTGCCTCCGCCGAAGTCAATTAAAACCTGACAATGGACACCTCGGAGGGCATTAACCCGCTTATACCATGGTCACTTGCCAAATAAAACATTTTTAAAACATTAGTTTATATTTTAATTAGGCTAAATCTAGTTTTTACAAATAATAACTTGCCTTGCCTGACTGTTTATTTAGCAACCGGAGATATTTATAGTCCGCTTAGCTCGTATCCCTTCAGGTTCACAAATGCATTTTTTTTTTTTTTCATGAAACACAAAGGTAGGCATAGTTTTTTTTTTTTTATTACACATAAAACAATTAATCAAACAACAATAAAAAAACAATTAGCTCTGAGCTCCAGCGATTTGCGCTTAACGTTATAGAGGGCAATAAATTAATCAGATCAAAGAGAGGGTCATTTGCCTCATGCTCCTTAGGCTTGAAACGCTGTAACGTTAAGCCTTCTCCTGCCTTGGTTGTCTGGACAGCTGCGTAAAACTCCCGCAGGGTCTCATTCAGGGGTGCGTTTCCCGAAAGCATCGTTATCCAACTATGGTCGCAAGTTACGTCGTTACATAGAGTTCAATGGAGCAGAGCAGCAGCGGTGTAATTTTCTCCGTTTTATTTACATTTTTTCTTTCTTCAGCAGCATACCAGTCGTCAAAGTTGCCATATTCTCCATAAATGTTAAAAGAAATAGCACGAAGTCGCTCATTGTTGTATTAGGCTATAATATCTAACGTTAGATGATAGAGCATGTGACTGCCTGTTGCTATGGTTACTCACAGCCGTTGTAGGCAGCGCATTTATTTATTAATTTCGAATGGTAAACAGGCAGTTTCACCAGAACTACTTTACTAGGTGTCCTCTATCACTTTTTAACGGACACCCTGTAGCCAATCAGAATCGAGTATTCACCCAGACCATGGTATAAGTTTGTTTTTGCGCACAAAAAGTTTTCTCGTCGATTGATAAAGATTGAGCCACTGTAGTCACTTGGACTATTTTAACAATGTCTTTAATAACTTTTCGTGGCCGGCAAGTTTCAATCCCTCAAGAAGCCTATGGACTATATGGAGGAGTGACCCAGCTCTCAGATTTCATCAAAAATATCTCAATTCGTGTTCTGAAGATGAACGAAGGTCTTGCAGGGTTGGAACAACATGAGGGTGAGTAAATACTGACAGAATTTTCATTTTTGGGTGAACTAACCCTTTAAATAGAGCACTCTTTGAGGGAACAGCCATTTGTTGGGTTGTCTGAAACAATAGTGGACATTATTGAGTGCTCTTATTCAATCCCATAATGCACCGCAAGAACAACTATACATCCAATGTATACTTAGTGGATAGAGAATACAAATAATGCACTTTGAGGGTTGAATCATCCATCCATCCATTAATTTGCCAAACCGCTGGTCAATGTTGCTATACAGCATAATAATGTCATACAGGAATAAATTCATTTTTAATTGATTATTAAATTGTTTAATTATGGTTTGTCCATAGTTTCCATTACTGTTCAAAATAAATGTTTTCAATTCTACTGGAACAGCTAGGTTGCTAAGTTTTAAATGATTATTAAACAACAAGCAAAAACATTTTTTGGAAGGGGGTGGGGGGGTTAATACTTTAAAACTTGCTAAATTATTAAATTCTATTCTAAGTTTTAATACTTTAATACTTGCTAAAGTTGAGAAGCTAGAGTCAGTTAAATAGTTAATTTTCCTTTCCCACATTTCAATAAATAAGTTAAATTTTATGAATTGTAGATTACTTATAATTATTTTAATGGCTTTGCGATGTAAGCATCAAAATAAATATGTACATGAATATGATACGGCGGCAGCTGTTTTGGACACAGCCTTACTTTGAAAGCACATTTAAGTATTTGAACGTCATCTCTCTCCTTTGCTAATCTCCTCTGTTTATCTGTTTTTCTTATTCACTTTATTTCAGCTCATAAATTGTTGTATTGATCTCTCTGTTTCTAACACTGTTTCATACACCAGACCTCTACTTATGTACGTGTTTAATAATGTCGCTCTCTAAGGTGTGTGGTGAAGATCACCGGAGAGATGGTGTTGTCCTTCCCAGCAGGCATCACAAGGCATTTTGCAAATAACCCCTCGCCCGCTGTGCTAACCTTCAGCATAACCAACTACAGTCGTCTGGAACACGTTCTTCCTAACCCACAGTTACTGTGCTGGTAATAACATTGATCTAACATCACCTACAACAGAACCTTCACAGAGCTTAAACCCCATCATACAGTATGTATTGATTAGTGATCATTACAAATGTCCTTATTAGTCACACAAGTTAAAGAGTAGTTCACTTCAGAATTAAAATATCCTGCTCATTTACTCACCACCACATCACCAAAGATGTTCATGTCTTTATTTCTTCAGTCGAAAAGAAATTAAGGTTTTAGAGGATAACATTCCAGGATTTTTCTCCATATTGTGGAGTTCAATGGGGTACAATGGGTTGAAAGTCCAAATTGCAGTTTCAATGCACCTTCAAAGGGCTCTACACAATCCCAGCCGAGGAATAAGGGTCTTAATTAGCGAAACGATCGTAACAACATATATACTTTTTAACCACAAATGCTGGTATTGCTGGTATTGCACTAGCTCTGTAATGCACCACACATTATGTAATCAAGTTGAAAGGTAACATGGGACATAGGCGGAAGTAAAGAGTTTTTGCAAAGCAAACGTGCAAAGACTAAGTGAAACGCCCATTACAATATATATACTGTGTGTGTATATATATATATATATATATATATATATATATATATATATATATATATAAAAGGTAAAACAACTATGTCGGACGATTTTGAAGTTGGAGGACAAAATGAGTTTTTCGCCCTACGGAACTGGAACCGGAACACGCATGTTACCTTTCAACATGATTGCGTAATGCGTGGCACATCGCAGAGCTAATATGTATATATTTTTTTTTTTAAATGGCCGATCATTTCGCTAGATTCGACCCTTATTCCTCGGCTGAGATTGTGTAGAGCCTTGTGAAGCTGCATTGAAACTGCAATTTTAACCTTTAACCTGTTGTACCCCATTGAACTCCAGAAAAATCCTAGAATGTTTTGATCAAAAACTTTACTTTCTTTTCAACTGAAGAAAGAAAGACATGAACGACTTGGATGACGTGTGGGTGACTTTTCAGGAAATTTTCGTTCTAAAGTGAACTAATCATGAAATGTATTATTAATTGTTGCTTATGGACTTTCATAATTAGTAATGGAAGGAGAGTTTGTAACTCGTGGTAATAATTCAGTATAGTTAAGCGCATCTTCTCAGGGGGAGATCTCACATCAGATTCATCCTTGTGCTGCCTACAGTCAGCTGAGGGTGACTCATGTACTGTATGACTAATCACATGTGATTCAACACTTTTGGGGGTAGTATATCATTCTCTGTTTTCTGTAGGGATGTGATCATTTACAGTTTTTGCAAAAGCATTACTACCCCTCAAACGTTTGGGTTCTCTTATGCTGATCAAAAATACAGTACAAATAGTAATAGTGTGAAATTTGTAATTTATTCCTGTGATGGTAAAGCTGAATTTTCAGCCTCATTACTCCACTCTTTAGTGTCACATGATCCATCAGAAATCATTCTAATGAAATGAGTTGGTGCTCAAGAAACATTTCAGTCACACTTTATCTAAACATGATGTTGTTACACAAACAAGTACTGATATCAATAAACTACATGAACTTATTATAGGGTCACGGTTTGGTTTAGGGTTAGTTGTAAGTAAGAAACAGTAATGGCTATTTGTTTATTTGAAGATTGAATGTACTTTCAAATTCCCTACAGTGACACCACGCAGCCAAATCCAAACTCAAAGGAGTTCTGGGTGAATATGCCAAACCTGATGACCCATTTAAAGAAAGTGTCGGAGCAGAAACCACAGGCAACTTACTACAATGTAGACATGCTGAAATATCAGGTGAGAAGAACCAAACCTCAAATAAGTATCGACCACAGACATAAAGACACCTGTAGTCATATTCGGTTTTAGAAAATCTGTATTTGCCCTAATCTTATATGATCCATTTTCAATTAGTTTTGCTTTGGGACCCATGTTTTACTTTGGACATCAAGTAGTTATTTCTAGAGGGCTTTATACAATACAGATTGTTTCAAAGCAGCTTCATGGCGGTAAACATCAAAATAACGATCAGTGATGCAAATGTCATCAAGTATAAGATAAGATTCTGCAGATCTATAGAAAAAATAAACATTATCCATCTCAAGTCAGTGTTGATTCAGTTCAGTTCAGTTGTGATCCATGGATACGAGTAAACAAAAATGTCCTTAAAAACAAACTTAAATCAACAAAATTATTGTTTTTTGTGATATTTGAGGATCATCTACCACTTGATTTCCCTCTGTGCATCAGGTGTTACCAAAGGGTCTACAGTCCACTCCTCTAAATCTAGCAGTGAGCTGGAGGTGTGAGCCCACCAGTACCGACCTGAGGATAGACTACAAATACAACGGTGGGGCCATGACCACTCCTGTCGCCCTCAACAATGTTCAGTTCCTCATCCCTGTGGACGGAGGCGTCAGCAAACTGCAGGCTGTGCTTCCTCCAGCTGCTTGGTGAGGGACTCTTCTAGAAATGCAATTCTAGTCTTCACATCTCAAATCAAGCATTATGATGGACTCTTTTCACAGACTGTGATGATGCAATTCCACAGTTATCAACATCACAAATCTAGTTTCCAAAAATGTATTGTATACATCTATAAATTTAAAATTTATAACGTTATACTTATTATAATGGTATACTTATTGGTGTTATATTACTTTGGCAGTAAATGAGAAAAATGTGAATTGATGCTGCTTTGAGAGTGTTTCTAATAGAACGGCTGATGGAGTGATGGCAAATTTGACATCTTTCTCTCTTCTGACTGCTGTAATCAATCTCTCGATATTCTTTTCCTCTTTTGGAAAGTTGTGGAAATGCTACAGATTTTTCTTTTGCTGTTAGACTATATGGAGTACAAAAATGTAATTTGCTGTCTTCTCCCTACTACAACGATTTCCACTTTTGAGAACCCCCTTAAATGTGAAAAGTGTGCATTGTACTTTAGTTAAAGAGCTTGAAAAATTGTACTCTGAATAGTTCTAGATTTGATGGAAGAGATCGTTTGACAATTTTCTTTCTTTCTAGATGATATACTAATTTTATTGGTACCTTTATAGGAATGCGGAACAGCAGAGAATCTTATGGAAGATTCCTGATATTTCGCAGAAATCTGAGAATGGAGGTGAGAACCATGATTCAATTTTGTCTATATATACACTGATGTTCAAAAGTTTGTGGTCGGTCAAACATACGGTAATATTGTGAAATATTTTTATATTGTGATGACATAGCTGAATTTTCAGCATCCTTACTCCAGTGTACAGTGTCACATGATCCTTCAGAAATCATCAGTAAATCATTCAATCGCATAGAATAATTTCATATTATTATTAATGTTGAAAACGGATGTGATGCTCAATATCTTTGTGGAAACTGTGATGCATGTTTGTTTTGTCAGTGTTTGATGAATAGAAAGGTCAAAAGAAACGTACAGTATGTAACCCTCGTTCCCTGAATAGGGATCGGAGACATTAGGTTGGATGGCGACGAATGGGGTTTCACTTAGAAAGCCTATCAACTTAGTAATCTTGAGTATTACAAAACGAGCCAATGGCAAAGAAATGCCATGGGTCTGCAGAATTTGCATGGCGCAATTCCGCCCCACCTCATGGGTTTAAAAGGAGGAATTTTTTTCAGGGTTGAGAGGTCCACTCTAGCCCGATGCTCGCGGCAGCCCGGGAAATCATGGCAGTCATCTCGGGATCCGGCTCAGCACTGACTTGTTTTGTAATACTCAAAGTTGATAGGCTTTCTAAGCGAAACCCCCATTCGCCGTCATCCGATGTAACTCGGAACAACATTTATTTGAATCATTTAGTAACATAAATGTATTCACTTCCACCTTTTATCAATTGAATGCATCCTAGCTGAAAAAAAGTATTAATTTGTGACCTCAAACCTTTGAACGATAGTGTAAATACAGTATCTATAATAAATAATAATACATTTATTTTCTCATAATATGTTCAGGTGTCGGATCTCTGCTGGCCCGTTTCCAGCTAACAGAGGGACCCAGTAAACCCGCCCCTGTGGCAGTGCAGTTCACCAGTGAGGGCAGCACTCTGTCAGGGTGTGACATCGAACTGGTTGGCCTTGGATATCGTTTTTCCCTTATCAAGAAGAGGTTTGCAGCAGGTGAGTTATGCGAGTTACAGCTATTTTGGGGCCTAAGAATCTTCCAGAGACTCAGAGTTCGGTTATTTTGGTTGAGATTATCAATGCATTGCGAAAATAAGGTATACTGCATGCATTTATTTAAAATGCACAATTGCGTTTATTCTTTTGCCATAGGAAAATACATCGCAGACAACTAAACAGCATCTTTGATCCGTGCAAGTCTGCATATTTTGGACCAATTCTGAATATTTAACACAGGACAGATCACAAGCCTGATCCCTACCTGACCTTATGGATAAACCTATGTAGATGTACAATACAGGTGGACCTCACACACTCCAGCAGTATTATATGAGTTGCATTGTAAATGTGGACCGTTTTAGGGTGTACTTCTTATATGTGTGAACTTTATTCACTTTGCAACATCTGTATTACTGCAGCTAAATGACCGGGGTTTGTTCGTAAGGTTTAGCCTCTCTATTTCTGTCCGATGTGTTATTGGCTGTGCCTACCTGAATTCTCTGTATCCTTCTCTAAAAGTTGATACTGAACATGTAATGTTTTTCTTTCTCTATGCATTCAGTTTGTCAAAAAGTATCACGTTTTTCGAACAAGGTAGCAAATTAGTACGGTAAACAACTGACTGTCTAAAAGAGGAATAAGACTCTGCCACAAGATGGCGCTATACCGTTGCATGTAGTAAGAGGTCTTGCTCAAGCGTTTTTAGTCATGAAAACGTATTCAGGAATTTCTCATTTTAATTTCCCAGTGAAGTCAGGTTAATTGAAAAACAATAGTTTTTTTTTTTTCGAAACTCTTTATAGACAGCCACAGCTTTAAAACTCTCCTGCTTGCAATAGACGCACACAAAAAAAAAGATTTTCTCAACAGAAAAGTCCTTTTAAATTGGTAATGTATGACTTGAAGGCCGCTTGGTGTTTTCTTGTATTGTTAAATAGCCTTTCTGTTTATTCCCAAGGGAACAGTGTTAGACATCAGAGTACATGACATCACTCTATTTTTATTTATTCATTATGTGTTGTATAAAAAAAGAAACAAGTTACACTGTATATGAATAGACTTTGAATGGTATCATAATTTAGGATCCTTGAAGTTTTTTGACTTTTTGTTATCTGTGTAGTCGGGTAAGCTGTGTACAGTATAATGCTAAGGTATAATTTTTAAATTTATTTCAGATATAAGTTTTTTAATTCAAGTGCAACAGAAAATTTACGCTATATAAATATATATATGGGTTGGGGTGACATTTAAAAGAGAAAATGAAACGGGATACTGTATCTACCTAGATGCGTCATGCTTAATGTTATTATAGTGTTATGTATATTGCAGCACTATTAGTTCAACTATGAATTGTCAGCTTTTGGACATTGTAAATTATTTTCTCATTCACGCAGATGTGTTTGTATCCAGCCTCTCCCCTCAGTGTTCTGAGCATGAGCCCCTGCGCTTGAGAACCTCTTTATTTTGCAAATGGTAACGGTCTCTGTGAGATGACAAGGTTCTTGAGTGGTTCAATGACCAAATTTTTTTTTCTTTTTTTTTTTCTTTTCGTTTCGTTTGTACGTGTATCCAGAATTGTCCTTTAAGAGAAAATAAGCTGCATATTTTTTAAATGTTTAAACCTATGAATAAAGTGAAAAATATTGTTTCTTGTGAAAAAAAAAATGAAAAGGACAAAAAAAAAAATTGTGTTACTGTTTAACTTCCCAGATGTTCTGATGTTCACTGTCAGGAACAAACATTTTGGTTACATCTTTGAGTGTCTGATGTAGACGTTGTGATGGTTTGGAGAAGATTACTGGTGCTTTGTGATTCATAGGTTTCCATCTACATTTAATGTTAAGGATGAGCGGAGCGTCGCCGTCCGTTAACACTGCATTGCATATTTTCTGAGCACTGTAACTAAAGGGTTTTTTATTGCACTGAGTTTAGTCGAAGAACAACTAGGAGTCTCTCAGCTGAAAGAAAAAAAAAAGAAACCTATGAGTTCAATTCTGTGTAGTGCTTAACCAGTATGTCTACATGGTCCAAAGTGAAATGTCACTCAGATGTGCAAAAGAAATGAGAAAACTCATGTCAGTTTGATGGTGGAGCTGTGTGTGAAAGTTGAATTGTGTGTGTGTGTGTGTGTGTGTGTGTCGAGTTGTGTCTGTGGAGTGTGTGTGTGTGTGTGTGTGGGTGTGTGGGTGTGTGCGGGCGCTGTCTGGTAACTGTAAATCATCTCTTCCCAGAAACATGTGCAACCTGTGTTTGTACAAAAAAAAAATGTTAAAGATCTGAGATTACTTTGCTCTTTCCAAAACAATAAAACATATAAGCCTGATAAATCGATGTATTGTGTTATATTATAGGTGAGTGTGTGTCAATATAAACATAGGCCTATATTTATAACACAGTCTCATCCCAAGAAGTCATATAACTGACGTCTTGGGACGTCTTTTGACCATACGTCAACATGCGCCTTTTTAGGGTACCCTTAAACGTCGGTTACATGATGATCCCGGGCCGTCATACTGACGCTTTACCTTTAATTAACGTCAGTTATGTGACGGGGTAGGTTTAGATCTGGGGTAGGGTTAGGATCCGATAACGTCATCTAACCGACTAACCGATCTAACCGTCATCTAAAATATTTGCGAAATCATGGTGATTTTCAGAATTAGTGTTTAGAGGTTTAGGGGAAAAACACATTTGATGCATAATGTATGCACTAATGTTTATTGAGAAAGTTTGTAAAATAAAATTACAATTAAAACATTTTAATCGCCACAATTACTGTTGATATTCATCCTCTTTTCATGGTGCAATTAAAAGTACAAGTCTAGCAGTATGATCTAAGACAGCAGGCATAATCTATTGGCAAATTAAGTTGTTATATGAATTCCTACCAACAGTACGCTTTATAGAGAAGCGTTCATCTGAACTCAACATGGAAGAAAAGGGGAAAAGCAAGGAGACAAATAGAAAACGCAAGTTCAGTCCTCAGCAGAGAAACGTGAGGTCGCTTTTCTTGCAGCCAAACTGACAACAAACATTATCCACATCCAGCTCTCGCCTGATCAGGTCCGATCCCAGACTCTCACTAACATCCTCAGAGCTGCTGAGATCTCTGTTAAAAAACCCTGTGGAATGACAAAGGCAAAACACACTGTTATGTTAAAAACTTTTCCTCTTTTTTTGCAATATTTGGATGCAATGCAGATCTCAAGTGATGTGATGATGGCAGGTATCTTCTCAGACTCCACATGTTTGCTGCACAGTGAAAATGACTAACTCCACATTTGTCAGTCAGTCTAATGGGAATGTTATATCACCAGATGTTGTTTATCTGTTGACTGCAGGAGACTTGATCTCACTGATACAATTAAAGCAGTGTTCTGTTAAATATCAGCAAGATTGATGGGCCAGAAAGTGGAAGAGATGCTTAGATACTCATACAACCACACAGTCATTGACAATTAGCAAAAGTAAGTAGTAGTTTATGTATACCCTTAAAAACAGTGTTTAAAAAAAACATATAAATGCCATAGAAACAATAAAATAACTAAATATATAATATATACATTCTAGTTTGCATTTGTCATTATATCCTCATTTATTGTTCAATATTTTTCAGTATATTTCCTCTCGCTTTTGATAAAAAAAGTTTGCTATATATATATATATATATATATGTATATATTATCCTTCGGAACTTATTTAATTATCTGGATTCACATGTAGTACAATTAACAGAACTTCCACTGACAGGGCTGTCTTGTGCACATGCAACAAGTATTATTTTAGAAAAATGCTATTTTTTATTTTTATCTCTAATAATTGGATTCATTTGATTAAAATAGATAACCTTGAACCTTACGCCTCATAAGCAAACTCACCTTCCATATCCTTGGGACTGAACCTCCTCCACCTTGAGCCTCCACACGTGTAGACGACAGCACGGATGAACTCTCGGCCACACAGCTTGACGGTCCTCACATCAGCCTGGATGACGGACACGCTACACACAGCACACAGCAGCAGTACAGCAGGAGAATATAACATTCTCATAGTTGCTCCTCCTGTTCTGCCCTGACGTTTCCTTCTGTCTCTCTAATGGTCCTCTCTATCTTCTGCCAAGCTTTCTCAGGTCTAGCGAACGTCTGATTTTCTCATGAGACGTGACCCCAATTTATGCTGGCACATGCTGGACCAATCCATCCTCTCCAAACTCCACCCAACACTTGATCCCCTCAAGTCAAACAACGTTGATGGGAAAACAAAAGGCAGCAGGTATTTAGGTGCTTTACTGCCCCAATCTGGAATTAAATTACATCCTTAGGGACAAGCTGTTGTCTCTTAACAGCTCCAGTTTAATGGTCTCATTGCAGTGATATTCTCCTTAATGAATGGATAATCTAGTCATTTAAAGAGCAACGCTGCTCTTCGAGTAAAACAGATGTCCACTATCTATTGACGTGACCATCAACTTCTGTTCCCTTAAACCTAGTTGCCCTATGAGGAAAAGGGAGTGCAAATGAACAATACGACTATAATCCGAGCAATTATGGTTTTATGGCTGGTGTGCCCCATGAGATGAACAACAGTATATCTACTAAGAAAAGTCTGTGGGAAAAAATCAATACAAGGAAACATTTCAAAGGTAAAACTTCTTGTTACCAAGGTAATATATTCACTATATTTGATGTGTTATGATATAACAAAATGATAAGATATTTGCTTTACTGACTCTTGAATGTAATAACTTTGGTTAACTTTGAATTTAATAATGCAAAATAAGAGAGGAAAAACTGAAATTTACCAATTAATAAGCAGTTTAGTTTCATTAATAGACATATTTATATGGCACAGATTAGGCAAGGCAAGTAGTTATATTATATTAAATGTCTGTTAAATACATTTTTAATGCAATTAAATCTCACATATTTTTAGTAATTTCTTACATTTTTTCTCTATTAATTTGAAAATATCTCTAAAAGAGGCAGTGAAATATATAATATAATATAATAATGGAAAGTTTTTAAAATGTATAAATAACCATATGGCATGTGGATAAAAAAAGTTCCATATACATTAGTAAATATCCATTTCCTGTCATAATGTTACAGCTGTTATTCTTAAAAGCAGTCTTATATAAGCTGATTTGCATCTTTATTGCTAAATTGTTTGATTTGTACTAAAAAGACCAGATTAGAGGCTTTTTTTGAGATGTAAGAGAGAACAACAGTTCAGTAATGATAGTCATTTGTAAAAGTGTGATGATGTACTTATGTCGTCGATAAGCTGTGATGTGTGGCGGGCAAGTGGTAATAAAACTGTCCATTCGCACAGTACAAACACTTACATTCTGTCTTTTTTGTATACAAAATATATTGTATTTTTTTTAAAGGCTTCAGAAGCAATGTTGTTATAGTACCTGCGTTGTTAACACAATTAAGTTATTCGTTACAAGTAGCAAAAAATATGTATATTTTGTTATACAACAAATAACAACCAAAGGCTTAAAAATACATAAAAGACATTTTCATCTAATCAAAATTAAAAATAAATTCACTATACTGTGGTTTACCTTAAAACATGACTTTCTGGAGGAATATATTTATTCCTATATGGATGCACAATAAGGCACAAACAGGCATGTAATCACAGCTGTAATCACATTGTTATGTAAAATGGAGTCGCTCAGTCTGCCAGAGGATATAGATTATGATGATGGAGAGGTAAAAACAAACAGCCTGATCCATCTATGAGCCTGTACCAGTCTTTCCTAATGCTCTTCAGTGTTGACTGGACAGTGTGGACTGGATTACATCCTCCAACGTGTCCACCTGCAGAAACACAAGAGACATAAATGACCTGGGCATTGCACTGAATGATTGAGTTCTTTGAGTTCTGTACGCCACATGGACATGAACAGATAAGGCCTCACCTGTGTGCTACCTCCATCTGTGAGGTTCTTCAGCTTGTACACGGTAACCTTCCCTTCACTGTCACCCACCAGAACACAATCTGTCTCAGAGGTGAAGAGAATAGCTGTCGGATTCACTCCTGGACAAGTCGTGCTCACAATTATCGGGTCCAGACTGTAAAAAAAATTCATTGTAAACAAAAAAAAAATGTTATTGTATTATAAGTGTTATTACTGAATATTATAAATGGACAGAACACAAGATCTTACATGCTGATTCTTAGGTCCCATATCTCCACATTGCCCTCACTGACAGCTCCAAAGACAGTAGCACAGTGTGGGGACCACATGATATCAAAAACAGCCTTCTGTCCAGTGGTGAAACAAAGCACGGGTCTCTGGAGGTCCTGCCTCCACAGTTGAATAGTCCAATCTGAGGAACAACTGAGGAAAACGTCTGGACAGAAAGGCGACCATGTCACTTTATAGACGGGACCCTGAGGAAAGGAGCAGAGAGGATAGAAGAGAAAGCAAAGAACATGTAAATGTTTAAAGGGTTAGTTCACCCAAAAATGAAAATTAAGTCATTAATTACTCACCCCCATGCTGTTCCAACCCCGTAAGACCTTCGTTCATCTTCGGAACACAAATAAAGATATTTTTGATTGAATCTGAGGGCTGGATGACTCTTCCATAGACAGCCTGAGGGACTGCCTCTTGACGGCCCAGAAAGTCATTAAAAGAAAAGGTTTAAATATTCCATGTGCCTACAGTGGCTCAACTATAACTTTATCAAGCGACGAGACTACTTTTTGTGCGAAAAAAAACGTAAATAACGACTTTATTCGACTTTCCATTACTTCCTTATGGGCGCATGCGCGAGAACTGAGACGAGACCGTTCTTCTTCGACTACTTTTTGTTACCGGCTGCTCACCACTTAGGAGTTTTACCGCCCCCTACCGTATAAGATGACGTACTGATATAGCCGGAGGCGCAAAACGTTCTGTTTACAAGCAGTACGTCATCTTATACGGTAGGGGGCGGTAAAACTCCTAAGCGGTGAGCAGCCGGTAACAAAAAGTAGTCGAAGAAGAACGGTCTCGTCTCAGTTCTCGCGCATGCGCCCATAAGGAAGTAATGGAAAGTCGAATAAAGTCGTTATTTACGTTTTTTTTCGCACAAAAAGTAGTCTCGTTGCTTGATAAAGTTATAGTTGAGCCACTGTAGGCACATGGAATATTTAAACCTTTTCTTTTAATGACTTTCTGGGCCGTCAAGACAAGAGGCAGTCCCTCAGGCTGTCTATGGAAGAGTCATCCAGCCCTCAGATTCAATCAAAAATATCTTTATTTGTGTTCCGAAGATGAACGAAGGTCTTACGGGGTTGGAACAGCATGGGGGTGAGTAATTAATGACTT